CGGAGGAGGGGAAGGAGATGGAGGAGGAGATTGGGAGGAGAAGTTGAAGAGGAAGATTAAGGAGCTGGAGGAGATGAAGGAGCTCGAGAGGAGAGCTGAGGAGATCCAGAGCCGGGTAGCCGAGGAGGTCAAAGGTGAGGAGACTGAAGAGGAGAAGAGGGAACGAGTTCGACGAGAGCTTGAAAAGGTCTGGCTTGCTCTTCCTTCTCTAATTTACTCGTATTACGCCCCAATAATTTTGTTAGTTAATCACTTGAAGTTTGAACTGAAATTGATTCAAAGATTTGTGCTTGTCGATTGCGATTACTCTTACTATGTAATAACACAGAGAAGGTGTTTTTTTATTTCTCTCTTTTTGTGGATTGAAAAGAGTTTTACATTCAACTGAGAAAAGATAAATCGCGGAGTTTATCTGAATGAACACAAAGCGGGACGCAATTCGTCCAAATACCATGAACTAAGTTTCTAACTGCTATCCACGTAAGGAAATGGGCAACTGAATTTCCATCTTTTCCCAAATGCATGAACCCGTTTAATAATGTCATCAACAATAGTACCGAAGCTGGCCAAAGAAAAAGAGCGTGAAGTAATAGTAACAATAGCCTGTGAACAATCTGATTCCACCACAACTTGAGTGAAATCTACATCTTGAGCTGAGCATAGGCCAGGACTTCACACGTCAAAGGATCATGAAAATGGTCAAGAGGATAAGCGAGAGCAGCCAAAACGGAACACGAAGAATCTCCGATCGTACCACTCCGACACTAGACCTGGATGAAGATGATGAATATGCTGCCTCACAATTAACCTTTACCATATCCGGAGAAGGAGCAACCCAACTGGATGCTACACTCCTTGTGGACTCAAGAAAACCTGTCGAATCTCCGTCCAATATGCTAAATGTAGAAATGGCAGGATTCAGGCAGACAGATTGGCGGTCGACCGCGTTCGTGCACGAGACTTACTGGGCGTCAGGATTGGTGGCGGTCGACCGCAGAAGTTTCTGTTCTGTGGGCGGTCGACTGCCGCGGTCGACCGCAGAAGTCTCTGGACCATTAGGGCTGTTCTCGGTCGACCGCGATGGATCGCGATCGACCGCCGCGGTCGACCGCCGTAGCGGTTTTGGGCTGGGTCTGTTTTCCAAACCCGTTTCGTTTGGGTTTTCTATAAATACCCAAAGGTTGGTTTTTAGGGTTTAAGGCAAGTGTTTTGAGCTGTTGAAAAGAGTTTTCTTTGGGCTTCTATTCTAGGAGCAATTGGAGAGATTGAGAATTGATTTGTTGAGGGTTTATGAGAGATTTGTAACCCTAGTTTGTTCCTCTTGATTTCTAATAGTAAAAACTCTCCCTTTCTTACCCCGTGGACGTAGGCATCTCGTCGAACCACGTAAAATCTGGTATTTGATTGTTTGTGCTATTGTTTGGTGTGGTTGTTTATCTCTCTCGGCTATTTGGTTGGATCTCGGCATAGGGGTTTCTCCCCAACAATTGGTATCAGAGCTCCGGGCAACGCTTGGGCTTTTTGGAGGGGTAGATCAGTTGAGAAGTTTCTCTAGAGCTTCGATTGGTGATAAATGTGCAATCTTTGTGGTAAAAATTCTATCTTTGGTTAATTTTTGGATCTATTTCTTATTTGTTTCGCAATTGTTTATTGGGTACTTTGAGATATATGACCGGAAAAGATAAAAGTGGGGAGGGTTCTTCTAGTGTGAAGACCGTCCAAAGTTTGAATGTCCATTCTATGAAGATAGATGTGGAAAAGTTTGATGGCACAAATAATTTTGGACTTTGACGATGCGAAATCATGGACGCGCTAAATGCGTAAAATTTGGAAGATACGTTGGAGTTGGACGGGAAACCGGACAATATGGATGATAATGTTTGGAATAAAATAAATAAAACGGCGTGTGGTGTGATTAGGTCTTGTCTTACTCAAGATCTAAAATATGATGTGATGAATGAGACTTCGGCAAAGAAGATTTGGGAGGTCCTTTGACGAAGAGCATCAAAAATCGTTTGCATTTGAAGAGGAGGTTTTATCGCTTCCAATTGAAGAAGGGGACATCCATTAGTGATCACATGAACCACTACACGAAGCTACTTGCAGATTTGACGAATGTGGATGTTATAGTTGAAGATGAAGACAAGGCATTGTTGTTATTGAGTTCCTTACCCGATGAGGAATATGAGACCTTTGTCCTCACTCTTATTAATGGGAAGGTATCTCTTTCGTATAGTGAGGTCACCGCAGCCCTTGTGAACTATCAACTTCGAAAGAAGGACAAGGAGACTTCCATTGAGCCGGTTGCGGGGGTATTGGTTGCAAGAGCTAGAAGTCCAAACCGTGATAGGAGGTCGCAGTGTAGAGGGGGGCATCCTGCAGTTGGCAGGAATCAGTGTGCCTTTTGTAGAGAAGATAGACATTGAAAAGCCGAATGCCCAAAATTACAAACCGTGAAGAATAAGGGGAAAGCTGTTCAAGCTTCAAAGGTGAATGTTGCCAATGCTAGTGGTGACGTTTCTGATTCAGATTCTTCAGGCTATTCGTGCCCAGTTCTTCCGTCATTTGGTGTTGCCGACTCCACCGAGTGGATGTTAGATTCAGGTGCTACTTACCACATATGCCCTACGAGGGATTGGTTTTCCAGCTTTCAGGAGTTGGAAAGAGGGGATGCTGTTCTTATGGGTAATGATCACAGATGCCCTATTGGTGGTATTGGTACCGTTCGTATTCGGACGAGTGACGGGATGATTCGGGAATTGGTTGATGTGAGGTTTGTTCCTCAACTGAGGAAGAACATCATTTCATTTGGGATATTGCAGGCAACAGGCTATAGGGTGATCTTGGCGGATTCTCGCTTGAAGGTCACATCGGGGTCCATGATTGTGATGAAGGGCGTCAGGAGGAGTAACTTGTATTATCTGTTTGGGAGCACGGTGGTGGATAGAGCGCTGACGACTTCTTTGGCTAGACTGTGGCATTGGTTGGTGCTGGGGTATATTATTGGTTATGCCGTGCATAGATTGTTGAGGAGTGTTATGACCTGCAGATTAAAGTCATGTGAGCACATTAGGATGAGTGAGGAGACCAAGATGGAGATCAGCACTTCTATCCATCGATCGAGTGGTCTTATTGGAGGTGTTCAGTCAGGCATTGGGGGGCCTTCCATGGAGGCATCAGTGGGAGGTAATCGCTATTTTGTTTCCTATGTTGAGGATTGTACTAGGCATATATGGGTTGCAACCAAGTCCCGTTGGTCTGAAGCCCTAGTAGTCCGCAACAGTTGGAGGAGGTGTATGGGCAGAAAGGTTACCCGTCATGCTAGTTCTAGTAGGGGTTCTTTCTTACATTGGTGCCGAGCTCATGGCAGTTGGAGACACTTCAGAGGAGAGGAGACAGTGGGGCGACGTGATGAGATGACGGATTTAGTGGGCCGTTCTTTTCTGGAGGAGGATCGGCATTGGTTGTCGAGCAGTGGATTTGGTATTCGGGTTTCGACACGATTGGGCTATCTTATGAGGTTGCCGACTGCTGCGTGTAGAGTTGTTAGATCTGGTGGAGCTGTTTCAGATTTTGGTCGGCGTCGGATATTTGGCTATCCAGCACTTGGTCACATCGTTGATGTGAAATTGGATCCGATTGCGCATTTGGGATTCAGGAGTTCATTCGGCTATCAGTTAGGAGCTTCTGAGTTTGGTCTGAGCAGGTTTGTCACTTTGGACTCTTGACAGGTAGAGAGTATTGATCAGATCAGAGGGATACCGCAGCGGGTGGAGGTTGATGCTACTCCACATCGGGTGAAGCTTATTTCACATACTCCAGGTCATTTTGCATTAGTTGGGATTCCGGCTGAGGTGACACAGTTTGGGGATCAGATTGTTTAGGATGCAGAGGACGAGTTGGTAGATCCGTGTGCAGCTGGTGGATATAGCTTGGATATGACCATTGGTTCACCTCAGGTGGAGGTGTTTGGATCGTTTCAGTATGGGGCCGTTGATGATGCTATCAGTCGCGCATTGGATGTTGGTATTGGTGAAGAGTTGAAGACTCTTCTTTTGCATTCAGAGCCTTTGGAGGCCATTGGGTGAACTACGTGAAGGCTTGATTCCTTGGAGAGGATACGTAGGCAGTCAGTTATGTTGCAGCCGATTTGGTGAGTAGACACAGTTGTTTTGGGGTGAGTGTTCGCACTCCCGTTTGGGTCTCGACATATTGTGGATGGGGTCCGTTGTCATGAGTCCGTTGCCATGACGTACTGGATGCAACAAGTGAGGCATTGGTTTTGGTTGGTGTCGGCTCAGTTTGGTAGAATCTTCACCGAGGTGGAGATTTGTAGAAATGGCAGGATTCAGGCAGACAGATTAGCGGTCGACCGCGGCGATCGACCGCAGAAGTTTCTGTTCTGTGGGCGGTCGACTGCCGCGAGGGCGGTCGATCGTGACAGTCGACCGCGATGGATCGCGGTCGACCGCCACGGTCGACCGCCGTAGCGGTTTTGGGCTGGGTCTGTTTTCCAGACCCATTTCGTTTGGGTTTTCTATAAATACCCAAAGGTTGGTTTCTAGGGTTTAAGGCAAGCGTTTTGAGCTGTTGAAAGGAGTTTTCTTTGGGCTTCTATTCTAGGAGCAATTGGAGAGATTGAGAGTTGATTTGTTGAGGGTTTATGAGAGATTTGTAACCCTAGTTTGTTCCTCTTGATTTCTAATAGTGAAAACTCCCCCTTTCTTGCCCCGTGGATGTAGGCATCTCGCCGAACCACGTAAAATCTGGTATTTGATTGTTTGTGCTATTGTTTGGTGTGGTTGTTCCGAACCACGTAAAATCTGGTATTTGATTGTTTGTGCTATTGTTTGGTGTGGTTGTTTATCTCTCTCGGCTATTTGGTTGGATCTCGGCATTTGTTTGGTGTGGTTGTTTATCTCTCTCGGCTATTTGGTTGGATCTCGGCATAGGGGTTTCTCCCCAACACCAAAGACTTCTCTATAACCAGTCCATCGTCCATAAGCTCATTGTTAAGCACTCTCTGATTTCTCCTTCAGCATATATAACCCAAGCAATGAACATCACCTTACACAAGCCTTCTTCTCTGTAGTAACCGCAGCTCTGGACCACCATGAAATCAAAGAATCACCATCTCTCCAATGTATCAGCAAAGAAGGAAATGTGAGACCAACCAAATCCTATATGTTGGGGATAGTTCACTCATTATAGAAATTTGATCTTGAATTTGGAATATTGTGTTGCTGGAAGCGGGTGACAGCTAAAGGAAAGATTACTAGTGGGCGTAAAAATGGAGAGGAAACACATGGACCTGTGAGAGAATGAGCATGTGAAGAAGAAGGAAAGAAAAAGAAGAGGACCGAAACTTGAAAATTAAACGAATCGATAAAAGGTCTGAAGATACCAAGTCTAACAACAGTAAAGAGAAAAACAAAAACAAAAAATATTGTTTTAGCTGGGTTCACTAAACTAGAGGGCTTATCTCAAGTATCCCTGGCACTGTGAGATATTAAAAGTCTAAACAATAGTAAAGAATTAAACAATAGTAAAGAGAAAAACAAAATATTCTTTGTTTTAGATGCGATTACTAACTAGAGGGGCTTATCTCAAGTGTTCCTTGCATTGTGAGATACTGTATCTGAATGTGCATTAGAGAGGGGCTAATATCCACACAAGATTTTGTTATGAATCTATAGCCAAAACCCATATATTTATCTATAGAATGGAATGAATGTTATAGGACAGTGAAAGAGTTATAACATTGGTGTACGGGCATGCATCATATACAAGTATGTATGGGTCCAATTATAAAATTCAACAAATATGTCCCTTTCCTTGTTAGAAAATACTTTTCTGTTTACCTCCCTTCCCAAGAAGATGCACTTTTCAATTTATATATGTAATGGAACTTGGAAGTTTGCTCTGTCCAATTGCTGTCACATTCTATCCTCTTTTCTCTTCCAAAATGTACTTTTGCTTGCGTCTACTCTTTTCCTCTTTCCTCTTATCTCATTAATCACACAAGAATTAAGGAAAAAATCATTTTTTGTTGAAGTACTGCCTCAAGAAAATTTAAATGGTATTGAGGATCTGGAAATTCGATATCACTGTTCCAAGTTACTAATGTGTCCCTAGTTCGTGGATCGCAAGATGTTCTAGTCCTCCTTACCCCTCATTGTCCCAGTGCTGCACTTTCTGGTCTCCATAACATACCAGAACATCGTAACCACTTTAATATTTTAAAAATGCTGTAAATGGATTAAGAATCTGTGTAAAAGGTTTTCTAATCCAAAAGGAACCTGCAAGTCCCGGTAAACAGTTCGCAATGATTTCATTTGATTTCAATTTTCATTTTAGGTCCCGAATCAAAATGTTTATCTGCTTTGACTAGTACTTAATACCATGGATTAATACCGTGGATTTCATTTTAATTGTATATTGGGATTTAGTATCTTCTGTAAGTTATCAAATGAAATGCAGAGATAGCCTTTTAGCCGTAAGACAAGGAAATAATGCAGGTACTAACCAGTGAATGATTGGTCTATTTTTTTCCCACAAGAATAGGTGGCAAAGGAACAGGCAGAACGAAGAGAGACAGCAAAGCTGATGTTTGAGCTGGGACAGAAGGCATATGAGAAGGGCACCTATGCCCGAGCTATTGAATTTCTAGAAGCAGCCCTCACCATCATCCCCAGGCCAACACTTTTTGGCGGAGAGGTGATTTCAAACCTTTGATCTCATTTCGTTTTAATAGGAGCAGAGGCAGATGACAATGCTAAAATAGCTCAATGGGTATATTTAAGAAGTTATTGTCTAGTATCCAATATTAATATAACTTGTTGTGCTGCAATGATGACTTTTAAAGTTTTGTAATTTGCACGTATATCTCCATAAAGTTTTTGATTCTCACGCGTTGATATAAAGGAGATTTCTTTTCTCAATGCTCAATGTTCTGTTGCTTTTTATTATTTCAGATCCAAATATGGCTTGCTATGGCATATGAGGCTAATAATCGTCACAGAGATTGTATCGCATTATACCAGGAGCTAGAGAAGAAACACCCAAGTGTTAGCATCCGGCGCCAGGCTGCTGAACTTCGTTACATCTTGCAGGCACCCAAGCTCAAGATCTCTAAGGATGAGATGGTCACAATACCACTGATTGGATCTAGTTATGACAGGTAATCTCTTGTTTGTGATATAAGCATACAATTTTCTTGTTTTTTGACTAACATATGAAGTCTTCCTTAATTGAATATTACCTCATTCTTATTATATGTTTGCATCTGAATTAACACGACAACAAGCAATGCTGTTATCACAAAATTTGGGTCCTCTATGTGAAAGCTTTTCTCCTTTTATCTTTTAGGTCTCTTCTCTGAGTCCTGGGTATTATGGCTTATAGTATGTCCAGTGATCACCTTTCCCACAGGTCTAGAATTGATGGCTTGTTGGCCAATAATGCATGTCAGGGAATTCTAAAACTTAAGTAACCGATATAGGTAAGGTCCTATTGTACCAAGGGTCACCGATCAGTTCACTGTCTTCATGTTGTTTTTCATCAAATGCATCATCATTGGTTGACTTATTCATAGAGGGACCTTGACTATCAAGATCAGAAGCCTCATACAGAATCTGTCGTAAATTTTATTATTTACGCTCAAGACTTCAATCATGCTAATTATTTGGTGAATGTCACATTGGTTCATCTCTAATGTTCTATAGATCAATGACTATTAAATTATGGCCGTCTGTTCGTATATTTGCTTGTGTATTAGAATCTGCTTTCTACCTTTATTTATTTATTTATCATCAATCAGCCAAGAAATGTTTGTTTTGTTTGATTATGTCGTGAAGTTATTTCAACATCTTCGTGCATTTTATCAGCAGCTCTGAGGACACTGTTGATCATAGGAAGAAGTTATCTTTCTCATATGCCTAGTGGTGGATATCACTCTCATTGAGAATATCCATGACTTATTTGACCACTTATTATTACATTCGAACCTAGTGACTACCATATGACTTATTGATCGCTTTGCATGGTGCGGATGGCTCAATGCCAGCTATGCAGGAACATGGAGTGACAAATACAAGGACCGAGATCAAAGAAGAAAGATGGTAACGACCAACCAGCTTCCATCATCAAGGGATTTCTTGGGGGACTTCATGGTCTGGCGTCCACCAAGTGGATGGGAAGAGAACCGCTACGTCTGGCTTTTCCTTGCTCTCTGGGTCGGGTTAGTCGGAGCTGCTCTTCTCCTTCAATGATAGATGGAGACGGGAGATGAACATGTTCAAGGAAAGCAGGGTTTGATTTCTTCTCTATGGGCTTTAATTCAGAAATTCTGTGAAAAAATCTTGCAATACTCGTAATATTGCGGTGAATATTACAAGTAAATAGTGTTTGCTGTATATACACATTTGTGCTGGACACAGGCTTTGTAAATTTTGACGCCTGATGATTCAATTAAATTCTGTATTTTGAAGGATTTCGAATATATCACGGGACAGTGACGTGGTCTGCTCTGTCTTCAGTTCATAGTTTATCTGTTAAAGATCTGTCAAAAGATCTGAATTCGTTCAGATATTATGTTCGATATCTTATCAACTGTAATGTTGTCAGCCGATACGGTTTATGTTCAAAGAAAAATAAATACATTGGTTTCTCATCATTTTTTTTTTCGAAACAAATAAGAAAAATAAATACATTGGCTTCCGAATTTGGGAACCGGAACTAACATCAATTTTAATAATTAGAAGGACTAGCTACAAATAAGAAAAATTTGAGTGATTAATATAGGAAAAAAATTTGTTATTTGGTGGCTTATATGCTTTTGGTATCTCAAGTTTGCCCACCTTTTCACTTTGATGCCTCAAAGTATTCTTCTAACATTTTGGCACCCCAAGTTTTTGACCATGTTTCACCGGACACTTTTTTTTAAACGTTTCACCGGACATTTGATAGTATTTCTTTAACATTTCGATAACTGAGAATATATTTTTTAACCCTTTTGTACCCCAATCGCCAAGCACATGATAAAAAGTGCATGTTAGAATTTTTTTTAATCGATGGACCGAATGAGTTCTAATGAACATTGTTATAGTCATAATATCTTAGGAATATATAACTTTCTATATTTCTTATGTTTACCGTTACAAAATGGTACGCATTGAATTTCTATTAGGATCCTCAATTCTTAGAAGTCGTTTCCAATAGATCTTTCTGGTTGCTATTTTATTTTGATTTGAAAGATTCAATTCAAAAATAACTTAAGAATCAGCGAACCTAATAGCAATTGCCATATGATTCAAGGGGTCAATCCAAAATATCTGAAGAATCTAGAGTCTTAATAGCAATTTAATTGCTTTCAAGTGCTAATTTCAAACTAGAAAGATTAAGAGATTAACATAGAAAAAATCCCTCTGGTTATTTGGTGGCTTATTTTCACCGTTTATCCCAAAGTTTAACGACCTTTTAACTTTAATGCCTTAAAGTACTTCTCTAACACTTAAAACCCGAAGTTCCAATCTTGTTACCATTTGATACCCATAATTATTTCTTTAACAATTTAATATCCTTGTTTAAATCACATTTTCATTTTGATGCCTCATCCATATTTCGTTAGAAAATTTATGTTAAATTGTTATCACATCCCTAGGATGTGAGTAGCATGCAATACATTTAAATCTATTTTACCTAGTCATTAAGCATGCCATACAAACTTAATTAAACATTGAATGTGATATAGAGATGGGTATCAAAATAAAATTTGCTTGAAACTTTAGTACTCTATGGTTGATTTTTAGTTGAGAAAAAATAGAGGACGCAGAATATGATAAGTACTTGTACATACATTTTGAATTGTAAAGAAAGGAGAAATGAAATCACGCATGCCTTTTTTTTTTTTTATGGGAAAACCATGCATCTGACTTCGTGGGACCCACCATACATTGCGGACTGTGGCTCCGCATAAGCAGGCTGGTGGACTCTGATACCTCTTCCATATTTCATTAGAAAAATTCTGTTAAAATTTTATCACATCCTTAGCATGTGATTAGCATGGAATACGTTTAATTCTATTTTACCCAGTAATTAAGCATGTGAAACAAACTTAATAAAACATTGAATGTGATATAGTTATACTGCGGACTACGATTCCGTAAGTAAACAGGCTAGCGGCGCCTACAGCTTTCTTTATATAACTAATGATAATGTTGTTAGCCGTTGCAGTTTATGTCCAAAGAAACCTAGGCACGAGGGGTGAAAATCACAATGTCAGTACACAGCAACACGATTTTCAAACCTTCGATCGTTCCGTCTGCCACTCCGACCCAGTTCATCAGAAAGTTCGCAAGTCCAAATTTCTAGAGAACGCCACACTCATTATCGATCATGTATTTTATCTGAGATCACATATTTTATCAGACCAATAGCAGATACGCTTCAGAACACAGGTCACAAAGGTTAAACGTCCACGCGCGCAGATACACAATGCCGTCAACAACTCATTCACCATACAACACAGCGCGCAACCTGATATAAACGCACCCACTCTGTGACAGAATTGAGCAGGCAAATCACAAATTTTGTACCAATTAATCACACAACACTGCGGGAGAAATTCAATTAAAACATCAAATTACAGTCCTATGTGTTGCACAAAAATAGAATCAGGTTAGTGCTTTCGCAACCCTTGAGAACTATCCAACCACAAATACGCACAAGCAGAACTATCCAACCACAAATATGCACAAGCACAAGCAGCTCGGCTTAGCAGGTATACAACACTCAGGAACAGATTTAAGAGCCACTATTCTACAGGGGATGAGCTATCCACAGGTGCATCACACTGAAGCTTTCACTAGTGGCTTCACATCACAATGAAGCAAAGCGCGGGTCTCAAGTTAAGATATATTCTGTGATCCTATAACCGATGATTCCTTGTAAAGAAAGGGTGTTTGAGGGCTTCATGAGCAGTCAGCCGTTCTGAAGGTTCATACTTCAGAAGACCCTTCAGGAGGTCAATAAGATCACCAGCTGAGTGGTCAACATGTTGCATTACAAGGTTCTGTATATGAAGAAAAAGAAACAAAGCAGAAATCTTAGCATGCTAGAATTGCTATCAGAATGCATTTCTAAGAATAAAACATCACTTCATTAAATAATTTCTCTAAGAATAAAACATCACTTCATTAAATAATTTCCTTTATCATCAAAATTATAGATTTCCATCACATCTCCCATGGGAGAAATATGGGAGAAACGCCTAGTAGATGATAATTACAACTTATAGCATAGTTTCTTTAGCCAGTGAAGATCAAGTCTCCAACTTACTCCAGTATAACACAATATTCGATTCACGTATGACTTAGTGGAAACATAAAAATTTTATGGATTAAATAAAGCAAACAGAATATTTGCAGTAACAACCCAGTACCTGAAGACGTGGCAATTTTGAAACAGCTTTAATACTCTCTCTGGAAGATGCACCTTCTGGCCAATGTAATCGACCTCTTCTGACATATTTCTCACCACGGCAACTATATAAAAATTGTTAAAAATATTAGAACAAAAATGAAGTACAGAACTGGAAGCAATAAACTTATGATTTTTTTTTAAATACTAAACATGGACTCTTTCACTTACTCTGCTCTCCTCAACAGAGGCTGGGGCAAAGGACCCAATACCCTCTCCATCATGGCCAAGTGCTCCAAGTTCTCATGGGTCTGAAACAATGCCTCCCCCTGTAACACAGTTACAGAAACATCAAGTTAATCAAGAATCAACCTTAAACAAATGGGGTGATAAAAAAAGATAAAATCATATGTTCAAGAAAACTTACAGAACAGAGCTCCACCAGAATACAGCCCACACTCCATATATCACAGGGATAACTCCATCCAAATCCTGATAATAACACAAATAATTACATCATAAATGACATTTATTAAAATAGTTTTAAGAACTAAAAAAACCAGGAAATTGACAAATATAGTATGAAAGCAGCAGGCATCAAACACCCACCCAAAATAACCTCAGGAGCCCGATAATGCCTTGTGGATACAACATAATTATGGGCTTGGCTATCATATGTTGAGCTGCCAAAGTCAATTACCTTGATAGCACTAGACTTAGGCAATCTTATAGAGGAGCCAACCTTGACCAATCATGAATAATTAAAACACAATCAGCACAATGAAACCCTAACATGAGCTAATCAATTTTCTCAGAAACTTGAAACATATAGTACTAACAAATAGCATGATTGAACATGGAAATGTCAGTTCAATGAAATAAACCAGCATGCACAACAGAAGAACCGAAAACAAATGACCACTCCGCGAAGGTACCTTATGGTGGGATACTTTCATGTACTCGGGAGAAACGAAAAGAATGTTCTCAGGCTTCAAATCAGTATGAACAAGATGCAAATCATGCATAACTGCAAGGAGGGGGAGGAAGAAGATAATATAAACACTGTTAACAAGTTTCCACTAAAGTGGAACACAAGATCAGTAAAAAAAATAACTGCACATCTGCTAGCAAAAAGCGATGTATTGCAGATGACCTAATAACTAGAAGTGCTTTAGCCGCCAAATATACATAAATATGTACATCAGCAAGGAATGCTGCATTGCAGCTATCCTACAGCCTGCTGCTGCAAATAAAAATTTGCAAATGCAGGAAAGTAGCGCTTAAGCACAAAATATTGAGGACCGCAAAAAAATGGGGAAGTATGTAAGGGTCACCAATGATACAAAGCATGAATAAAATGATAAAGTTATGGAGATAATCTTTACACACATGCTATAGATTCCAAGAGTTGCCTGCCAAGCTCGCGGACTAGGTCAATGGGAAATGGGCGATAACCATTTTTCCGCAAAAAATCATATAAGCTTGGTCCAAGCTTCTCAAATACCTGATGAGATCATTTAAATTCATCGGCATACTTAAAACATACGGGTTTTAGGTTTATAGGGAAATTTCACCGTGAATTATAGTTATATACTTACGATACAGATATGATTACGATAGTCAAACCAGTTCCGTATTTGTACACAACTGCAAAATGAGCAGCTTACAAAGATATAACTTATCCCAACAAGAATAGTGACTAAATTAAGAGGAAATAATTATAATGTGAGACAACTAACCGGCTAGCAGAGTCATCTTGTTTCTTTAGTCGTTGAAGCACATCAATCTCAATCATAGCAGCCTCACGATATTTATCAACAGCACGAACAATTTTGATAGCTACCATTTCTTTCTTTTCTCTATCCCAGCACTCCAACACTTGTCCAAAGGTGCCTGGATTACACAACAGAAGGAAATCTGAGATGAATTTTTCGAAAATATTATGAAAATAAGACATTTACAAGTTAACATCACGATATGAACAATCAAGAGAATTAATTTTGCAATAAATTAACACAATGAAGACTAACCTTCCCCCATCTTACGATAGATCTTATCTGCAAAAGAGGCGAGAGAAATAAGTAAGTAACATGATAAAGAACAACATTCCTAAGATTGGAAGAACCCATAAGTCATAAAAGTAACTTCAGACAACCATGATAAACAAATTAAAGTTATTTGATACTTTCATAGAAAACATTATTTTTAAGTATAGTTTCAAATTACTCATAGGGTACAAAACTAGAAAAATCAATGAAGCCTCATGATCCAATACACTTTGGCAAAAGAACTCATACACGCAGAAACTTCAGAAACTTCAAACTTCAGAAAATATATCTGTTAAAAATAAACGATGTAGAAAACACCTTTTACATAAAAAAGGTTTCCATTTCTTTCTTTACAAGAATATGCTAAATTTCTTACATGCATAAACCTACAAAATGATTTTTCATAATACGTAGCAGATCCAATAACCAAGAATAGTAACAATTAAGTAGTTGATCTTTAACTACTACATATAAGTCTATACATACATACATACATATACATACAAATAAATGCGCGCCCACACACACATATTTATTTATTTCTACACACACACACACACACATATATATACATATGTATGTGTGTATGTATGTGTGTATGTGTATGTGTATTTATGTGTGTGTATGTGTGTGTGGGTGTGTATATATCATGCACACACAAACATCAAACTCAGGACGACATAATCTAACAAATAACAATACAATACAAAACAAAAATTTAAAACGTCAGTGATGAGTGTAATTACAGCGAGAAGTTAAATTTTCTCCAATCCCAAACACGTAATGACCATCTTTGTCATCCTCCCTACGAGGAGGAGAAGCAATACGAGCCACTTTGTTTGCATACAAAGAGGAAGAAGAACAAGTATAATCTGAAGGTGCCATCGATGATACCAAGCTTGTCAAATCTCCAAGTCCAACTTCTTGCCCACAGAACATTCCTATCTGAGCCTACACAGAACCATCCATTTATTTATTTTGTCCACTCAGTAAAGATAGCGAGCTTCACCCACATCAGCCTTAATGAAAAAGCAACTTAGCAATATAAAAAATTTCTTAGTTCAACTTAGCAATATAAAAAATTTCCTAGTTCAACTGAATCAATCTCGAGGTTCTCAATAGTAAGTCAAAAGAGGATCAAATCTCAGGGCTTTCATAAAACAATTCCATAAAACAATTATCTGCATAGCTATTAATTATTAATATAGAAAAAGTAAATATATGTGGTTTTGGTTACATATAAGATGAATCAAAATCGTTTCTTGACAATCAATTAGACAAATCAATTTCGTGATCAAAATACACCAGATCACGTCAAACCCTAATAACAAATTCTTCGTCCCGAAACATGAAATAATTCCAAACCCAAATTAGAAGAAACTAATGAATTCTTACCAGATCTGATTCATGAATCATCAAGGACTATTAACATCCACAAAGAGAAGCCATAAGTTTTTTTTAAAAAAAGATGAGAAAACGAAAAGAACATATCTTTTGACAAAAACAACGAAAAAAAAATTACCTGAGGCTGGACATCCCATCTCGGCCTTTTCCTGGGGCGATGATCTATGAGATTCTGGGTTAAGCACTCCATCGCCATGATCGATTTCTCAAAGAGAGAACCTTGAAAAATAGAACAACAGAATTTGGGGGTAAAAAGGAAACCCTAATTTCGAGGAAACCCTAATTTCGAAGAAACAAGAAGGTTTGGTCTAATGGCGGCGGCAGTTTCGCGACCCTCATCCTTTGTTTTATAAGGGGTGATTTGTCTGCACGTGCAACGCACGTGTAGGAAGTTGAAAGCGGGTTGGGCTGGGTTGGGTTGTGTTATCCAATGCCCATTTACGGAAACTAGAAAAGCCGTTTTATTAAACCTTATATTCCTTTTCCTCTTTTTCTTTAGGGTCTGTTTGGTTTGTTTTTTATCTCTGTGGAAACCTTTTTCACCGTCTACACGTAAGAACTTTCGTGGCTACATTGGATAAAACGTTTCCATCAGTTTATTTTCCCAACTTTGGTTCGCTAGGGTTTCACAAGCAAACTGAAGAAAAATCGTCGCCACATCAGATTTCCTCCTCTCCCACAATTCCTTCATCAACCTCGTGAAATCAACGGAAACTGCAGCCACGTCGGCTGTTTGGTTTCCTCGTTGATTTCTTCGACGAGCTATACTTACCTCCGCGCTCCCCTCCCGCCAAAAACTCCTGCGACCCACTTTGTCCATGTATTCGGATCTGATCATTGACGACAATAATCAGATCTGATCTTTGCCGACGCTGTTGCTTCATAAATCAAGGTAAAAATTGATTTTTTTTATTTTCTTATTATTAGTTTAATTTACAACAATGATCTGAGAATTTGTGGGGGGGGGGGTCTGATCTACGTAATTTTTTGGATTTTTCGAATCAATTTTCTGATTTTTCTATTTTTTGACATTTCACAGATAAGAAAATATGATTAGAAAACTTCGAATACCCATTCATGGAGAAAATTTGTGGGAGGCGGGGGTCAGATCTACTCAAATTTTTTGATTTTCAAATAAATTTTGGTGATTTTCCTATTTTTTTTTTGAGATCTCACAGATAAGAACACTATGAAATTTCGTATAATCTCTTAGATTTTAGAATTAATTTTTGTTGTTTTAGCATTATTATTAGGAATGTATTATGGATTTATTTTTTTAGGTGAGATATATCAGATTTAATTACTAATAAATACCTGGAAGTGATGAAAAAATTATAATTTGTGATAAGGAGCTTGTGACTGTAGCAGTGAGAATCCCCCCATGATTTCCTATTTTCTAAGATCAATTTTTGGTATTTTTAATTATCTCATTATTAGATAGTATGAAAATGTTAATTGGTTGCGTGTTGTTAATGTAATTTTTCTCATTTTAGGAGCTAAAGTTCATATCTTTATTATTTACTAGTTAGATTGCACGTGCAATGCACGTGGTAAAATTTTTAATATTAATTTAAATTATAATTATATTTATGGAAAGATTTGGTATAAATTTAATGAATGTACACAATATATATGAACATAAGCTAAAAATTAAAAATGTTTGAATAATACATTTATATTTAAGGATCAATTATGCGATAGTAGAGTGGTTGTGTCTACAAGGTGATTGATCAATCAAATACAATAACAAGAATATACCTAAAAGTAATGTTTGAAGATGTGGATGTAAATCCAAGCAAAATCTTCTGACTGCACTTTTTGTTTCCCTTTAGATTGATGAATTATAGCGGTCATGAAGTTAACCTTTGGAAATTGACTGATAACAACATGAACTTTCCTGTAGATAAATTTAAATCATAGTTAATTACTTAATTGTATACTCTACATAAGGTAATACTCTACTTTAACGAAAATCAAATTCTACAGATATCATGACATATTCCAAAAAGCATCATATGGTTTAGTTTAATTTCATCTGAACTTGTACCTGAGGATTCATCCAAAACAAAGTTACACAAACAACATATTTTCAGTTTTTTTCTCTTCCCAACTCATGTGAATATATCCCAACCAAAACCATGCTCATTTGCAATGCAATTGAACGATAGGAACCCATTGATCACCTAACCTTGCAATCATGCAATACTCAGTTTGAAATTTTATGAAACACTTAAAACTTCAAAAGGACATAATTATTATATAAAACTATATCTCATTGACTCCACTCTCTCCAAAACACACATTTACATTCTTGAGTAAGAACTGAGAGGATCTCTAGCAGTGGTTTTTTCATCAGGTACACCCAAAGAAATCTCACGATCAAACCGTCCAGGTCTCCTTAAAGCTTGGTCAAGTGCATCTGGTTTGTTTGTTGCTCCGATAACAAGAACATAACCAAGCTTCTTCTCAGATGTTTTTGGGAATCATCAGAAGACCGAGTGTGATGTGATTCATCCATGCAAGTCATATGTTGTGTTACTATCCGCCGTTCCATCTCCCTTTGCAGGTTTGCTCGCTTGGAAGCAATTGCATCTATCTCATCAATGAATATGATTGATGTGGCAGTAAATTATCTTATAGTTTTTTCAGAAACACCTACAACAATCATGTGCAAACTTAAAATAGATTGTTACTTGATATTAAAATAAATTGATATTAAAATTTATCAATGTCATTTAGTCATGAAGTAATTGTCAGTAATCACTTAGCATTTCCTCTTACAATAGCAAATCAATTAAAATTAGCTAAATCCTAGACTGTTTCAATAGCTCAAAAATTAGATCAGATATCCCATGGAAGAAAATTATTGTGATGCTGAAAACTATGCAAACTGTCACTAACCGTGGCTGTGATATTTGTTAAAAAAATTAGTTACAAACTGTCACTAACCGTGGCGAGTATCTTAGCATGAATTGGTCAGAAAGATCGAACAGTTACAGGTTCCCCTTGAGACGTATATAACTCAGCTATACTTTCGATTTGCTCACTTGTGGTTATTTTCTCCAAAGGGTCGTCACTCCTCTCAAACTGTAAAAAGAGGACATTTTCATAACAACGTCAAGGATACCACAATATTTAGATAAATTAATTGAATTTGGCTTACTCTCATCTCCATAGATCCTTTGAGAGTGGTCTTCACCTAATAAAAATTAGAGTTTAGACACATAAGGAAATGGTGATATGGTCTTTCTCCGGAGATAGACATGTGAAACCAACCAGTGCAAAAACTGTAAATTTAAAACACAACATCACTTCTGAAACAATGATACCCCACCAAAAGTAAAAACATTTTACCATCTACTTTTTACATTAGGTAGATCATCCATTTGCTAGAAAGAAGAATTCTTGTTGAGATTTCTTTTCTCACTGAAAAGTTTACAACAATTTGGAAAATATAAATAAATAATATTCCTTTAAAATGATATTATTTAATCACTGTCTTTGCTACATAGGGAGGTGGAAAATGAGAAAAGAATTACTTTCCTGAAAATGCTAAAGCAACATAACTACTAATGAGTAAGTACAGAAGATGAAGATCGGTCAAACCATACAAAACGCGCCTTTCATTCAACTGTTACTGTAAAATTATTTATTTAAAGCATCAGAATTATGTTAACTATAACCATAGCTACATAGACAATGATATCTTGATAAAACGATATGTGTAATGCACGAAAAAATGTTACCTTTGTCCATTGTCGAATAAATGAACTTAACGTGCATAAGTATAATGTGAACTATGTCATACTGAACCACTAAAAACAAAGAGATAAGAGGAACAAAATGACTTACCCAACAACCCAGAAACTATATCCATCAAGATTCCAAGATTGCATTGTTTTTGCAGAAACAAAGAGATAAGAGGAGAAGGTTAATGTTTTTGCAGAACCTATTGAAAAGTTCAAATTCACAGTCCAATTTTATATTCTATCTGACCTGCAGAAATCAAATTGCACATGCCATGCCTGTTCACTTGTTTTTTAGCAGAAATTTGGAGCATATGAATATTACAGAAACAAAGGGATATTTTTGGCAACTGCCAAAAGAAAACCCAGTTAAGCTATATCTCAAACAGAATTTTAAAATTATATAACTATTGTAATGGGAGGTCCATAGTGATAATTTCAAAATAAGTATACCTGGAATCCCTGGTTGTTTAGGGAACTTTGGTCTGAAAAAGGGAGGGGGGCATATATAAAAAGGAGTTGTCACAGGTTCAATCTCCCATAGTGATACTCTTGTTCTTCTTTCAGTAGCTGTCGATTCATCCCAGCCAACCTAATTAACATGAGGACCATGAGGACTATAAATGGTTCATCACAATGACTATACTTCAGATAATATTGCTTCTGAACTGAACCAAGTCTATAATTAAAGCTGTAAGTTCTTAGAGGGGAAATGTATCAGAGATTTATTGAATGTTTTGGCATATCCTTCATCCCAGGTTTGTCGAGCTCTACATATAAATAGGCACAAATTGAAGCTCCTCCTCAAAAACTCCATTTTCTGATAAAATTATCCTTTTTTTTTCTTTTTTTTCATATTCTGGATGTGATTTATTCATGCTTCTGGTGATAAGGAATAAAAAGGTACTAACGTCATAAATGGACAGCATATTCTGTTTTCCTTTTTCCTTTTTTTCATAATCTGAATGTGGTTTACTCATGATTCTATGGTGATAAGGAATGAAAAAGTACTAACGTCATAAATGGACAGCCATAACTTATATGCAAGTGTTGGAATATTATACTATGTTTCCATTATAATTCTAAGAACATTGTTTGTACAATGGTAAAAGCCACTATTATATCTATACCTGCAGATTACGCCACTGTGAATTTTTCCACCGAATGTTGTGCGCAGCGGAAATTTCGGCAGAGTTTCTGGTGCACAATAAGAGAGAAAGATCGATAATAAGAATTCCCGTCTCACCAAGGAGACAAGAATCTGAAGCGGATATCTCAACCAAGTGAGATATCGGCTCTTCCTCTCATCAGTTCTAGGACTAACACAAGTACTTCAATAAGCTGAACTATAGCCAACAGTTTCATTGTGCATAATGCTTTTAAAGAAGGATTAACTGCAAATAGAACCCTTATGCTATCGCCAAATTGAACTTACTACCCTTGTAGTTCTATTGTTGTAGATATCATCTTTCGGTATGAAATCTAGTAGTAGGCAATCTTCATTGATTATTCTTTTAAGAACACTGAGAACCTGGCCATGTCATAAGATACCTCTCTCTCTCTCTCTCAGTCGGTTTTCTTCCCTCTCCCAGCACTGCGCCTTTCACCAAAAGCCGCCCTTGCTTGCTGTACTTCTCCTTGTACTGCTGCAGCCGCACTTTTGTAAAGCCTCAATTGCTCCTGCCTTGCTCACCTTTGCACGAAACCCTAGACAAGGGTTTTATAGGCAAGCTGCAGATGAAACTCGGGTGGGCCGCACTCTCTTCACGCGGCTCTCAGCCTCACACGCGGTTTTGTAAACCGCTGTTGATGTGGCCTTCACAAGACCGCCTACAAAACCCGTCTTTAGCAATGTTGGCGAGGTACTCATGCACGTGAACTCCCTGCACATGGTGGCCCCCACGTTCCATGAAGTTGCGTTCACACAATTCTCCACCTCGGCGAAGTTTTTCCCAAAACTGGGCCGACACCAACCAAAACAAATATCTCACTTGTTGTGTCCAGTACGAAGTGAAACAATTCACGACAACGGACTCAATCCATAACAAGTCGAGAACCCAAATGAGAATGCAAACACTCCAAATGTCGATGTCGCTATCCAACCCGGCTGCATCATAAAGACTGCCTCCGTATCCTCTTGCCCAAGGAATCAAGCCGAACGTAGTTCATCCAAATGGCCGCGAACGGCCTCAAACCAATAGAAGAGTTTGCAACCCTTCTCCAATATCATCAACTCTGCGGCTGATAGCACCTCCAATGGCCTCAAACACCTCCACCTGAGGTGAACCAATGGTCATATCCAAACTGCATCTATCAGCTGCACTCGAGTCAAAATCCAACTCATCATCTGCATCCGAATCCAAATGACTTCCACGCTGTGTCACCTCAGCTGGAATCCCAACCAATGCAGAATGACCTGGAGTATGTGGGAAAATCCCCACCCAATGTGGAGTAGCATCAGTCTCCACCCGCTGCGATACCTCTAAGGTCTGTCCAAAACTCTCCACCTGCTGAGAGTCAATTGGCTTCCTCATCGAAGCCTCAACCAAAGTGACACTACCAGACCTATCTTCCAATGGAGTTTTACCTCCAATCACAGCAGTTGACAACTCTTTAATAGGATGACCCAAATATGTCGAAGCCTCTGTCCAGAAACTCTTCTGCAAACCATTGCTCGACCACAAACACCGATCCTCCTCCAGTAAGGCACGGTTCTCCAAATTTGTCACTCTATCTAGTTGCCCCAATATTTCCTTTCCAACAAAGTGTCTCGAAATGCCATGAGCTCGGATCCAATGCAGAAATAGGTCCATCTTGTACCTCCCACCAGAATGGAGTACCTTCACCTTCTGTCTATTACACACTTCTTCAATCTGTTGGATACTACTAGGACTTTCTCCAAAGGGGATTTGGTTGCAACCCAAACACGCCTAGAACAGTCACCAACAAAGGAAACCAAACGCCTATTACCTCCCAATGATGCCCCCTTGGAAGGCCCCCAAACATCCACGTGAACTCCTCCAGAACGACCCTTAGCACGGTGAATAGAGGTGCCACACTTCACCTCGGTCTTCTTGCTCACATCAACATGTTCACTGGACTTCAAACTGCAGGTCTTTACACCCTCTTTCAATCTATGCGAGGAATCAATACTGGAATGGCCAAGCCCCAAATGCCGCAGTCTAGTCGAATCAACAGAAGTCGCCAGCTCTCCACCTGTCACTATACCTCCAGTCAAGTAATACAGGTTATTTCTCCTGACGCCCTTCATCAAAATACGAGAGTCTCTCGCAATCTCGAGAACCATGTCCTCAACACGAACCTTCAGACCCTCTCCAACCAAAGCTCCAATCGAGATCAAGTTCTTCCTCAAAGAAGGAACATATCTCACATCGTTTAACTCTCTAAAATTTATCAATGTCATTTAGTCATGAAGTAATTGTCAGTAATCACTTAGCATTTCCTCTTACAATAGCAAATCAATTAAAATTAGCTAAATCCTAGACTGTTTCAATAGCTCAGAAATTAGATCAGATATCCCATGGAAGAAAATTATTGTGATGCTGAAAACTATGCAAACTGTCACTAACCCTAGCTGTGATATTTGTTAAAAAATTAGTTACAAACTGTCACTAACCGTGGCGAGTATCTTAGCATGAATTGGTCAGAAAGATCGAACAGTTACAGGTTCCCCTTGAGACGTATATAACTCAGCTATACTTTCGATTTGCTCACTTGTGGTTATTTTCTCCAAAGGGTCGTCACTCCTCTCAAACTGTAAAAAGAGGACATTTTCATAACAACGTCAAGGATACCACAATATTTAGATAAATTAATTGAATTTGGCTTACTCTCATCTCCATAGATCCTTTGAGAGTGGTCTTCACCTAATAAAAATTAGAGTTTAGACACATAAGGAAATGGTGATATGGTCTTTCTCCGGAGATGGACATGTGAAACCAACCAGTGCAAAAACTGTAAATTTAAAACACAACATCACTTCTGAAACAATGATACCCCACCAAAAGTAAAAACATTTTACCATCTACTTTTTACATTAGGTAGATCATCCATTTGCTAGAAAGAAGAATTCTTGTTGAGATTTCTTTTCTCACTGAAAAGTTTACAACAATTTGGAAAATATAAATAAATAATATTCCTTTAAAATGATATTATTTAATCACTGTCTTTGCTACATAGGGAGGTGGAAAATGAGAAAAGAATTACTTTCCTGAAAATGCTAAAGCAACATAACTACTAATGAGTAAGTACAGAAGATGAAGATCGGTCAAACCATACAAAACGCGCCTTTCATTCAACTGTTACTGTAAAATTATTTATTTAAAGCATCAGAATTATGTTAACTATAACCATAGCTACATAGACAATGATATCTTGATAAAACGATATGTGTAATGCACGAAAAAATGTTACCTTTGTCCATTGTCGAATAAATGAACTTAACGTGCATAAGTATAATGTGAACTATGTCATACTGAACCACTAAAAACAAAGAGATAAGAGGAACAAAATGACTTACCCAACAACCCAGAAACTATATCCATCAAGATTCCAAGATTGCATTGTTTTTGCAGAAACAAAGAGATAAGAGGAGAAGGTTAATGTTTTTGCAGAACCTATTGAAAAGTTCAAATTCACAGTCCAATTTTATATTCTATCTGACCTGCAGAAATCAAATTGCACATGCCATGCCTGTTCACTTGTTTTTTAGCAGAAATTTGGAGCATATGAATATTACAGAAACAAAGGGCTATTTTTGGCAACTGCCAAAAGAAAACCCAGTTAAGCTATATCTCAAACAGAATTTTAAAATTATATAACTATTGTAATGGGAGGTCCATAGTGATAATTTCAAAATAAGTATACCTGGAATCCCTGGTTGTTTAGGGAACTTTGGTCTGAAAAAGGGAGGGGGGCATATATAAAAAGGAGTTGTCACAGGTTCAATCTCCCATAGTGATACTCTTGTTCTTCTTTCAGTAGCTGTCGATTCATCCCAGCCAACCTAATTAACATGAGGACCATGAGGACTATAAATGGTTCATCACAATGACTATACTTCAGATAATATTGCTTCTGAACTGAACTAAGTCTATAATTAAAGCTGTAAGTTCTTCAATTTTACGTGGTTCGGCAAACTGCCTACGTCCACGGGGCAAGGAGGGGGAGATCTACTATTAAAGAGAAAAAAAAATACAATGGGTTTACAACTCTCACAATCTAAACCCTCAAATAGGCTCCTTGCTTTTCTTCACAAGAAAAGGTCAGCCTTCAAATACTTTTTCTCTCTTCACAAAACCCGAGACAGATACCTCCCTCTCTCTCTCTCTCAGTCGGTTTTCTTCCCTCTCCCAGCACTGCGCCTTTCACCAAAAGCCGCCCTTGCTTGCTGTACTTCTCCTTGTACTGCTGCTAGCTGCTGGAAAGAGGAAACGGGTACTCGGTTGTGGGCCGCGAAGTCTTCACGCGGAACTCAGCCTCATACGCGGTTTTGTAAACCGCTGCTGATGTGGCCTTCACAAGACCGCCTACAAAACCCGTCTTTAGCAATGTTGGCGAGGTACTCATGCACGTGAACTCCCTGCACATGGTGGCCCCCACGTTCCATGAAGTTGCGTTCACACACCGAACATGATCCAAATCATTGATGCCAGTGATTGTTCCCATGTATCTACGTACTCCAGACTCCTCGGTCTCAAACATCATCTTGAATCTCATACCGAGAGAGACTTGGGTGTACATTGACTTGTTGTATTTGGCCAAAGGAACAACAAATTCTGATGGGCTTGTTCTATTTAAAACACAAGTACTTCAATAAGCTGACTATAGCCAACAGTTTCATTGTGCATAATGCTTTTAAAGAAGGATTAACTGCAAATAGAACCCTTATGCTATCGCCAAATTGAACTTACTACCCTTGTAGTTCTATTGTTGTAGATATCATCTTTCGGTATGAAATCTAGTAGTAGGCAATCTTCATTGATTATTCTTTTAAGAACACTGAGAACCTGGCCATGTCATAAAACAGATACAAATAAATTTGGGCTACTAAAAGAAATAAATTAGAATAACAATTTTGTAAAATTAGCTACCTTCTCTATAGAAAGATATGCGTGTTATGCGTTTCAACATCTGTTACGAAACCACAAAAGAATTATGGACATGCATAATGACAAGAAAGATGACTATTCTATTTGGTATGAATATTTACTTTTCTTGAGATTGAATTCCCCAAAATGCCCTTAAAACACAAGTGCCAACACAAAATTTTAGTTTAAAGGTTTTTTCTTTGTTAGGTTTTTTCATCTTCAAGCATATAGGATGCATGACATGATAAATTGACACTATGGTATTTATAAAAATTGAACATGTGTGAGTAAATTTCGATGCATATCATTGTAAGCGTGTATGTGTTGGGTTCTGGTGCTATTACAGTAAGACATCTGAAACATAGAGACCCAAGTGCTATTATGACTTAATAGTTACTAATGCACAGAAATGGACTGCTAAGTTTCAGAGATCAATGAATTTTAGAACGAATAAGGTGAATACATCTCAGCATTTGCAGCTTTCCTTAATCTTTCAAAACTGAGCAAGTATTTTAAAATAGTCCAAATTCCTTTGTAAATTAATTTACAATTTTGTGCAATGTTGTTGAGATCATGCTCATAGTTAAGGCATAATTTCATTGGTACTCTTAGTTAACACTATATAGTTCATACAAAATAATTTACAGGAGATTGGACTGTGCTCATTTCCGGATCACTAATACACATAGAAAAGACTTCATGGATCGAATTTTATCAATATCATAAATTGAGTATCAAATTCATTTATTAATACCGGGGAAATTTTCATTACCTTTAAAATATTTTTAGAAACTAAAATAACACCTATCTTACACAGGTAAGAACAACATCGGCTAGGTGATAATTTAAAATTATGAATGGGCTTCGTAATTATCTAAGCAAGTCAATGTTTGAAAAACATGCATGTAGGAGCAAGCAAAACAATTACAAAGGGAAAAAGAAGATATCTTTTAAGGAAAAGTAAACAAGAACGTTAACTGTAATATTAAATAAAACTAAAGTGTCTTATAAATCAAAATTTCCTACATCAATTCATAGCATGCAACTCTTTGCAGTCATTTCCGTGCAAATATGCGTCAGTCCTCTAAGTAAATAAAGTACTTAATAGGCAGAATAATATAAATAAAATGCATAAAGGTAAAACAGAAGGATGCCACTTGTAATATGAATATCACAAAGGTGTTTACAAATGAACTTGACATTAAAAAAATGAACCAAGTTGTGCATATAAGCAGAAAGATAGCTTGAAGTTTTTAAAACTACGTTATGGTACTTTCAGTACAGTTACGATTCACATGTCTTGCTTGTCTCTGTTCACATTGTGAGTTAAAATATGTAAGAAGTAACAGATCAAAGAACCAAAAAAGATCATTTTGAAATTTAAAATAAGTTATAGTCATCATTAATTCATATGTTATTTCTACACTCTACTCAATGGTTTAACATCCCAGGTTGATAAAAAAAAAGAGAGAGAAAAGCCAAAGTTCCACAGGATTCAAGAGGGGTTGTTTAAGTTTTGTTCACTTCACATCAGGCTTAAATATCTTATGTAGTGTGCCCAGTTCATAACTTCTGAAAACAGAAAACCATCTATAATATAGGGTAACTGACCTGAGCTGGCAAAATTTCTATGTAATACATGTAAACATTTTGGAAAATCTAATTTCTAGGTTTGGTCTTGACTCTGAAAGTTCAGTAAAACATAGACACAACAATATCATTCTGTCTGTAAATACTATCTAACAAACTCAGTCATGTTTCCCCTTTTGTGTCTGCAAATACTATCTAACAAACTCACTCAACTTTCCCCTTTTGTGTCTGCAAATACAATCTAACAAAGTCGTCCACCACTAATTACCTCAATTCAGCTCAAAATTAAAAAACTAATTCACCAAAATTAACTAAAAGGACATAAACCATAAATTTTAAAAAAATTAACAATTGAATTTTTACATTATCATTAACCATTGAACACTTTAAGTATTCTTTATTACATAATGCCTTGTTCAGGGAGGTTTGGTAAACCTGAAGAAGTTGCTGGTTTAGTGGAATTTTTGTCCCTCAATCCTGCTGCCAGTTACATTACAGGACAGGTAACTTTAGCCTTTGATCAATTAATTTTGATACCTGTTTACATCAGCGTTCTAATTTCAGAGGTTAATCATTGTTTAATTTCACAAAACTGCCCAAAACTTCCTACTAAACCCCAAAACTTTTCCCACCCAAAACCCCAACCCCCCAACGCAAAGTGTTTTGTGGGAGAAGTTCAGAATAAACATAATTCAGAGGGGTTTTGAGGGAAGAGTTCTGTGGGTTTATGGGAATTAAACAGAGTGCAAGCGGGTTTTTGTGGAAATTTACACTTAACCATCTAATTCCTTGTTGCCTTCAAAGTTGAAATATTGACATGTTTCTAAATAATCTGCAGGTGTTTACTATTGATGGTGGGATTGTGATGTAGGAGGCATACCAATGGATGCATATATGTATGTATGTTGTTCAGTCGCGCACCAAAGATATATGCAATGACAAACAAGTACATGTACATACACAATGTGAGCAACGGTGATAATTCAAGCATATCTTGATATAAAAACAGACAGATTTTCTCGATAAATTTTATTACCAATATCATGCATAATGACAACTGTAAATAAAGTGGATTGAGAGTATGAGTCGGGCAATATTATATCTACATATTTGGAAAATCTAATTTCTAGGTTTGGTCTTGACACTGAAAGTTCAGTAAAACATAGACACAACAATATCATTCTGTCTGCAAATACTATCTAACAAACTCAGTCATGTTTCCCCTTTTGTGTCTGCAAATACTATCTAACAAACTCACTCAACTTTCCCCTTTTGTGTCTGCAAATACAATCTAACAAAGTCGTCCACCACTAATTTCCTCAATTCAGCTCAAAATTAAAAAAACTAATTCACCAAAATTAACTAAAAGGACATAAACCATAAATTCACAAAAAATAACAATTGAATTTTTACCTTTTGAAACTGACACAGGAGCAAGATGAAGACTTGAAGCAAGCCCTAATTCAGACAATCCTTGACCTATTGTTGAATTAGAACAAAATGAGAATGAAGAACAAAAAGGTGAGATGATGAATTGAGCAGAAAGCGTAGGAAAAATTAAGTAATACCTTCTTCAATGAAATTCCTTCCTGATTCTACCCGCTGCAAAAATTCTGACAAACGAGGAGATGATGGCGGAGACGGGTTGATGATTAGGGAAATAATACTCATCTTTTGAAATTTATGGCTTAAGATCGTGGGACGGCGTAACGTAAGAACCGAGACGAGGGGCTGAGATGAAGGGTAACGGATGAACTGGTGAATTGAATTCATCTCTAAAAGTTGTTGGAGGTAATGGAAGATCAGAGGAGGAGGAGGAATTGAAAGGAGTAAAGTGTATTTTGGGGACCGATGAATTGAAAGGAACGATGAATCGAAAGGAGGAAAATATTCGTAACTGATGAAAGGGTATTTTGGGGAGGCTATTTTGGGATATGTTTTGTAATTAAATTTAGGGTAAGGCTATTTTGGGGAGAGTAAAGTTTTTCATGAACTCCCTCTTTTAAAGGGTAGATAGATTAATGCTATTTATATCACTGTAATATTTTTTGGTTTGATATTGTAGTAATCCATGTTAGTAATTTGTAAATTGTAAATTATAAATTGTAATTTGTAATTTGTAATTTGTTCAGATTTTGACACAATTCAACTTAGTTTCTAACTGGATAATGATTTTTTGCATCGTAGATGGATAATGATGGTGATTGTTCCGATGAACAAAGTGTTGTAAATATGGTTCAAGGTGCTGCCCTATCCGTTCTAATTATAAGAATTACTGTCATAAGAAGAATGTAAGCAATGCGTAAATTAATTCGTAGTGGTCCAAGTAAGGAAAAAAGAAGACAATAGAGATCTAGAATTGAGCACATAGAGCGAATTTATAATTGTTTTAGTGATAGTTGCGTGAATTATATTAGAATGAGAAGTGGTACTTTTGGTAAAGTAGCGAGTATAATGAGGAACAATATCCTGCTAAAAGACTCAAGGAATATAATAGTGGAAGAACAACTTATAATGACTCTGAACATTCTGGGTCATAAATCTAAAAATCGCATAGTTAGATCTCATTTTATAAGATCAGGGGAGACAGTGAGTAGATATTTCAACAAGGTATTACAAGCAATTATTTACCTGCGTGGACGGTACATGAGACAAGCCCCTAATGACATTCCCCAAGAGATCATTAACAACCCACTATACTATCCTTATTTCAAGGTATATCTACACTTTAAGCACATTTAAATGTATAATCAATGTAAGTAAATTTTAATTTAGATGTGTTATACACGTATTATAGGATTGCATTGGACTGATAGATGGGACACATGTAGATGCTATGCTTCCGATTATTCTTGTTGCACGATTTCGAGGCCGCAAAGGTGTTATACAGAATGTGCTTGCAGCTTGCACCCCAAACAAGCTGTTCACATATGTTCTAGCGTGTTGGGAGGGGTCTGCAAATGATTATAGGATTCTTCAGGACGCATTGTCTAGACCACAATCACATGGATTGAGAGTATATGATGGTAATTAAATATAAACTTAACTTAAAATTTATGGCTTTTAATATTCAAACTTAACTTAACAATTTTCTTAATAAAATTGTAGGCAAATACTATCTATGTGATGTAGGGTACCCAACCATGCCAGGTTTCATCTCTCCATACCGAGGAGTTCGATATCATTTGAAAGAACATTCGGGTAAAACACCTAAGAATAGAAGAGAATTATTCAATCTAAGAGAAAGAACATTCGGGTAAAACACCTAAGAATAGAAGAGAATTATTCAATCTAAGACATTCTTCATTGAGGTCTAAGATTGAATCTGCATTTGGCACATTGAAGAATCGTTTCAAGATTTTGTGTACTAAGCCGCATTATTATTTTCCTATATAAGTAGATATCGTATTGGCATGCACGGTACCCCATAATTTCATTGTAACTATGGATCCAAGTGATGAGCTACTCAACGATGATGAATTTAATGAAGACATTGATGGTGAAGTGGCTTTCGAGAATGACACTAATTTAGTTGATTTTACTCAAAATCAAACCCAAAGAGAGCAAACTGAATCAAAAATGAGTGGAAGACTCTTAGGGATGACATTGCTTGGGCGATGTGGGTGGACTACTGTGATATGTATAATCATGGTGTAACCACATAGACTTGATTTTTATTTTTGTTCTATTTATGCTCATATATGTACTCAATAACTCTATTTCCATTAATGTCGTTCTGCTTTTATTCATGTTTTACTTCTTTCATCTAACCTTTTCTATTTAATTAGTAATGACTGATAATACTTCATTGAGTGGGAGAGATAATCAGAAAGGCAAGGGGGTCGTTCCTTCACCTTTCCCACCACCTCAATTTCCTCAGTCTGTACATCACGGCGATGGGTATTTTCTATTTCAGCAGTCGTACTTTGTACAACCACCTCAAGCATACCCGAACATGTCATTCCATGATAGCAACTACTTTCCAATGCACCATAATATGGGTCCATATTCGAACATGCTCAATTCACCCACTTTGCCTCCACAATTTCACAGTTCTAATCTGAGTGGGGTGCAGCTTTCACACACTAGTGGTAATGGATCAACTCCTGAATCAGGTTCCAAACGAGATCTCATAGAAGAAGGGGTAGAAATATCGCCAAATCCAAAGAAGAAGAGGGAAAACACCACATACAAAAAAAATGGTGAAGTAGGTGGTTCTCAAGGGAACAAACATTTGTTCTGAGATTCCCGTTATGATGATGAGCTCATTCCATTTCTTGCCGACTTGGTAAGAAAGGGTTACAAATCCGACAAAAGCTTTAAGAGAACCGCTTTTTATATGGCTTCTCAAGACATTAATGAGAAGTTCAACACAATTTTTAAGTGGGATAATGTCATGCACCGCATCAAAACTCTACGAACAAGATTTCGTGATATGAAAACTTATCGTAATCTTAATGGTGCTGGATGGGATGATAGTACGAAGACTATCATTATGGATCCTGAATGTTTGGATAGGTGGATTGAGGTAAATAAAGCCTGGTTAAAGAATAGATTTATTTTCCATTTTTAAAGAAATTTTCCTAATTAATTAAATTATATTTTTTTAGGACAAGAGCTTTAAGAATGCAAAGCTTAGACAATATGTCAATAAATCATTGAGGTATTATGATGATCTCGCCCTTATCATCGGTGATGATCAAGCTACAGGTCAATTTGCTAATGATGCTTGGAAAAGGTTTAGCCATAGTAAGACCATAAATCTTGGAGATGGGGTGAACTCACCAATGCATTCTCCCCAATCAACTCAAGTACACATTTTAGATGGCGAGGACACTCTTCCGCCTAAGGAAGCACCCAAAACATCAAGTTCTAAAGCTAAGTCATCATCCGCCAAGGTAAAGGCTCGTAAGACCAACCTAGATAGTGAGATCATGCTAAAGATGGTGGATAAGATAGATATATTTAGCAGAAATATGAAGTGTGTGAATATGCATTGGACTGAGAAGTTATCCACAGTCCTATATGCTCATTCACATGACTTTAGTGTTGCTAAGTTAGATACATACTACTGTCACCTCTTTATGAATGAGCATGAATCTAGACTATTTATGGGCATATCTTTGGATGGTCAGAAGGAGATGATAGAGGCATTTCTCAACAAAGAGGATTGAAGACATATAGATCATGGGTGTGTGTGTTAGTTTACGATTCTCACTTAAGCACATTTTTGTTTGAAAACTTTTTAATTATGGTTGAAGACTAATATCGTTTGGTTTAGAGACAATACTTTTTTAAAATGATGTTTAGTTTTGTGGTTGTCGAATTGTATGACAATGACTAATATTATACTTATATTGTAGTAAGTAGTTATTTGCTTTTTATTTTTAATATTATTTTTCGTACTGTGAATATTGTGGTGTACTAACCTTTAAATTAAACTTGTGACTGCAGGATATTTATAAGTCACCATATAATTTTTTAAGATGCAAGCAACCTACAATGTGCACACATTGTACCGGATGGTTATTACTCTGGGTATTTTGTGTAATAAGTTTTCATGACACGTGTTTACGTTGGTGACTTTTTTACTTTTAGGCTATGATTATTGTCATAATATCTGAGATTAGCAACCTGCAATATCTATTGATATTGTATTGGATGGCTAACAATGATGATATTGACTATATTATGAGCCCTCAGCCCTCAGCCCTATTCATTTTGGTTTGCATCAATTTAGGCTATGATGATTGTTAGATTTTCTGAGATTAGCAACCTGCAATATCTATTGATATTGTACTGGATGGCTAACAATGATGATTTTGACCATATTATGAGCCCTCAGCCCTCAGCCCTATTCATTTTGGTTTGCATCAATTTAGGCTATGATGATTGTTAGATTTTCTGAGATTAGCAACCTGCAATATCTATTGATATTGTACTGGATGGCTAACAATGATGATTTTGACCATATTATGAGCCCTCAGCCCTCAGCCCTATTCATTTTGGTTTGCATCAATTTAGGCTATGATGATTGTTAGATTTTCTGAGATTAGCAACCTGCAATATCTATTGATATTGTACTGGATGGCTAACAATGATGATTTTGACCAAATTCTGAGCTTTCAGCCATAATCAGTTAACAGCTCTGGTTGGCTTTGTGACCATTACAATCTGTTTGTGTTCAGTTAAACAGCTTGTCCTGACTGGAAGTTTCATCACAGCTCCTTGACAGTCGCCTGCTATAGACATTTTAACGAGTCCATTAAAAGACAGATACTTGAATTATCCATGCTCATTTCTGAAACCTTTTCGTGGAATTGGCTAGAACAATAACAAAGTAACAACGAAGAATTTTTTCTGATACATAGGATACTGACCAGAAATCTCACAACAAATACCCCATCCAAGTTGGCTGTTGTCTGTTGACAAGTGTTCATATTGGCTACTAGTTTAAGCTTTTAGCTTTTCGGGTATCAAAGGAGAGAATGTGTAGTCAGGATGTTGCCCTAATGAACAGAAAGCAAAGTGAAGGTGTCTAGTGAAGTGCTTACTTTGAGGTGTTGTTGGCTGGGGTTGTTGTTGCAAAGTGAAGGTGTCTAGCAAAGTGAAGGTGTCAGGA